AAAACTAGGAAATGCTAAATATTTATAGCCAAGAAAGCTTGGAAAACAACTACCAGCATCTTTTTTGTTGTTGTTAAAGAAATCAAGATCTGTAAATTCTGCTTCAAAGTCATTTTTATAAATATACCTACCTGAATTAGCAAGCCAAACAGATAATATTTTTTTAAAAAATGTGATTTTAACTGTATTGTATTAAGTGTGCAAGTTGCTTTAAAACCAAATCTTTGTAGAGGTGCTAGAAATTAATTGGATCAATAAGTTCATTACCTTCTATCACCACCAGATATGTCTTATGTCACCAGACAGAACAAAAGGAAACAAAAGGAAACAAAACCAAAATAGTTAAGAGTCCATGGGACCATCACAGAAGAAGAATGGCTGTGATTCACGTTTGGTCAGTCGCTGCCTACTTGAAAATCATTACCTTTCTAATGCTTATTAGCCTAGCTTTCCCAGGATTAAGAAATCCTAGCAGTTTTAATTCTGATAAAAAAGAAAACCTTTCACTTTTCTATGTACCTTTGGACATAATCTTCTTTTACAGAATCACTATAGAAAAGTTGAACAAATAATATCTAGGTTTATTATACTGTCTCGTAAATTAAACAGTTTTCTTTTAACCGCTAGAGAATAAAAATAAAATGTTTTGGGAGAGGGAAGAATGGAGAAGTAAAACAGCACAAGAATATTTTCTGTCTTAGCAGCAGCAGAAATTACTCACACAGACCATTCCTTTAAAAATTGAATAATAGAGAGAAACAAAGGAGAAAAGAAATCCCAGACAAGATCCAGGAAACAGCATGCGCAGATGCCACTCCGAGAAAAGTGAAAAGCGCTGAAGCTTTTTTGCAGATAGCTGTTCCTGTTGACATGACTGCTTTAAGTCCTTTTGGAACTGAATCAGTGAAGAGATAATTCTGAAGAAGTAATTTCAAAAGCTGTTATTTACATGAAAAATAAACCTTTGTAGTGCCATGGTGGGGGGTAGCACAAACCAAGACAACCATACCACTAACAAGTGTATAGCTATGCATTGTTAGTGCAAAAATACATCCTCTGTCATATTTTTTTAACCTTCATTTTGGCCTTGGATTATATCCAGTTTACAAACAATAAAAGCACCACCCACTCATAGGAGACTCAGAACATGGACTTTCAGAAAAAAAAAACCACCAGAAAGCAAGGCATCAGACAAAAATGCTTGCTAAATATTTGACAGCATCTATAATATTTTTTCCTATTAGTCGTAAGGAACAGAAGCTGCTAAACCAGACAATTTATAAAGCAAGTCTAATTTATGGATAATTGCAGAAGAAATTAACCACCACTTGCTGTTATGTTCCAGTGAAGCATAATTCCATAGCTCATACCACAAAGCGAAGAACACTGCTCCAATACATATGCAACAGCTTTGTATCTCCATTTCAGATTAGATTTCAAGAAATCATACCTACCCTATTAATAACTATCAGGTTAATTCATTTGAAGGCAATTCAACTGTGTCTACAGAAACAGTGTCAGATAGATAGATAGATAGATATATACATGCATATGTATTTATGACAGCTTTTCCTTCTGATGTTGTCCAAAAATAGCCAGGTGCAGCAAACATCTGACTGAAAGCTAGAACTGGTACAGCTTCCAGTCGGGGATGTTTACAGCAACAGACTACTATATATCAATGCAACTGTATAACAGTACAAAGCAGCCGGCCACCTTTAGAGAAGGGGAAATAAAAAAAGAAAAAAAAAAAAGAAAATATTTAAGACATGCTTCTATAACATTCCAACCAATTACTGTTCAGCTAATGCTAAGACAACCTTATTTTCACATTCAGTAACAAAAATACAGTCCTAGATTCTCAACTTACATTAAATTAACAAATTTTCTAAATGCAACATAATAAAATACAAATTCTCAAATTTTAACATACATTTTAAGACCTCTTTAGGTTCAAATATATATAAAAGACATTTTATTTCATAATTATATACTTTATACATTTAAAAGACATACATAATAGATTTAAAATCCCTTGACTGCACCTCCCTATATCCTCACTCCTGCAACTCTCAAAAATAAATGGACTGCTTTAACATCCTATGAATTTTGCGTATAGCTATCCTTTCATAGTTAATTTCTATTTCAGAATAAAGTTATATGCAAAATTAAAGACAGAAGCAAAATAAGCCATGCTCATAAAAAAAACCCAGAAACTTTACATAATTCTGAAAATATTTACGTTCAGTATCAGAATCCTACCTGATAAGTTTAAAGCTCTATTACAACAAACTAATTAAAAAAAAAAACAACCAAAACCCAACTCAAAACCACTTATCTTTGGGTAACATTAAAGGAGAGGGAGAGGGTGGGAGGGAAAACAATAGCAGGCTCAGGATGGAACCATCTTATTTCCCATCTTCAACAAGTTAATATAAAAACTCCCACAAGCCTGCACTGTTCTGCAGCAACCTATTTTCTTCAAAGTTAAAAGAACGTTTATAGTATTAAAAATATTTACAATGCATAACACAGAGGAAAAAATTTCATTTAAACCAAAGTAATTAAGTGCATTTCACTGAGTTAGTAGTTACATATATTCTCCCAACACTCCAATTCCACACTGTTGTGCATAGCAATAATCCAAACCTGAAAATTCAAAGGACTCCTGTGGTGCTCCTCCTTGTTGCAAAAGCTTCCCCCATCTTTGCAATGGATGTGGAATGTCTGAAACAACTATCTGCAATTTTTTTTCAACCATATAATTCTGGCTTGACCGTTTTCACATAATACTTAAATGTTTTAATTTTGTACTTTATAGTGGAATGTCTTCCTTTTACTAACTGAGCTGAAAGCAGATCAATATATTCCCATTTAGCAGTCTTTATCCATTCATAAAGAAAAGAATTTAGCAAATAAAAAGTCTTCTACTGCAGGACTATATCCAGACTTCAGCAATTTAAGGTTGCTTTTTCTGGGGTTTCTGTTTAGGCCTCTACAGCAATTCATAAAAAAAGAAATTAAGACAAAGAGTTTAAAAGTGAAGAAAAGCTAAAACATTCAAGATTTCTCAGTTACAGGAACCCAATCACATCCAGCTTTCAAATAAAGGTTTCCTCCTGAAACATGAAAACTTGTTAGTCATAAGTGAATTTTGTTATTACAGCACTATGCCAAGACTAATGAGAAAGCTGCATGCAGTCACTATGGATACCATGCTGACCTTCATTATTTTTCAGAATAAATAGTTAAAAAGCCAGTGGTCATTTGCAACAAAGGCCTCTTCAGGCTGTTCCAAAACTGAAAATTCCTATTTTACATTGGAAAGAAATAAGCTATTTCATGCAGAGATAGGCACATGGTATTTGACTAATTAAGCTGCTGAGCATTAAGTTGCAATGAACCATTTCTTATACTGCTTTCCTTTAACACTTACTTCTTAAGGAATAATGAAGGTTACTACAATGTCACCTGCCCAAAGAGAACAAACTCTCCACAACCTCCTTTTGTTTTAACATGTAAGTCATCACAAAATAGCCAATATACATGACAATGAAGTGTTTTACTGCTTTATCAAACTTGCTGTCAACTATAAATACTTACAGAGCATCTTAGGAAGTTATGTTTGTATAAAAGGAGTTGAAATTTTCATTTCCAAATGTGGTGTTAAAGGTAGAGCCATTGCAGATCACTTCGTACAACTACATGCTTGAAAGATAACTTCTATAAGAAGTTAAATCAAAATTGAAGCCATGTATTTGTTAAGAAGTATCTTCAGCTATTCTCCCAAACACTTTATTTCTTTTAAACAAACAGAAGTAGACAGAATACGCCAGCTTTCATTAAAGTTGCCACCCTCTCACTTTTATAAAGCTTAAAAGCACTAAAACCCAACAGGATTTATTCTAAAGCCATCACAAACTGAAGAATATCGACTGCTGGCTTCTGTTAATGACTTTAACCGTTTTTCTAAAGAACGGCAATAAAGAGAATTATTTGAAGTGCAAAATCCCCTCCTAACTCCACATGTAGACAACACACAGAATGAGGCAAATCTTTAATACTACACAAAGTCCTTCTGACACAGGAAATTTACCTATTTGTCATTTCCCAAGAACAATGTATGATCACCTGCCTTAGGAACCGTTCTTCAGCTGTCACTACTCCAGAACTAGAAAAAAGGTTTAATACTAAACAAGGGACACCATTACGATACCCAAAGTTTGCATTCACTCACAATTTCCAAATCAAAGCCAAGAAGGCCTCAGATCTACTGCAGTTTTCCCAAACCTAAAGCATTATTTTACCAGGCACCTGAACTTTTCCTGCACCTTACATGAGCACCTTGAGCAAAGAGTTTAACGAGACAGGACAAAGGAAGAGGCAAGCAGCCAAACAGAGCTTCTTCTTTTCTCCCCACACCTTAAGACATGCTCACTCTACAAACAGCATGACCACTACAACTCACTGAATTTGAAACCTCAGTTGTCACAGATATATTATAGTTAAATGTAAAGAGTCAAAGGAGTCTGTCTACACATGCATGCTCATGTGTGTGTTTTGGAGTTCAGGTCTTGTCAATCAGCCCATCTATCAGTCAAAGCAGTTCAGCCACAGATGCCCAATACAAGCAAAGAAGTGACTAGAACTGATGGAGACAGATGCTCACTCTCACTATGAATTTTTTAAAGTCACATGTACTGACCAAAAAAGAATTAAGAATTAAACATTAAATCCTAGCTATAAAAGGGATTCTTGAACTGCATACAAATTTAAAAAACAATAGGAAGAACTTCATAATGGAAGTCAGACAGCATTCACCAACTTTCTAGCAGTTTAATCTGGATTTTAAAATTTGATAGTATACTACAGTTTAGTCTGTTTAAAGACTAATGTTACATGATTATGTTCTCAATATGGTCTTTTCTACCTCCCCCACAAACTCCTCCTAAGTATAAAACTAGGCAAGAAAATTAACAGAAAACCAGGCATTTATTTTGAATAAACTTTTTCCCTTTTTATCTGATAGTCATGAAAATATACCAAACTATTTAAACAAATCCATTCCTCTGATACTACATTGAAGTAGCCAGAACAGATTTTATATGTAAGTCTTTTTTTTCCCCCCCTTTCTCCTTTCCTTGGTGGGGGGAGAGAGGTCAGGGAGAGAAAAAACACTTTTTTACTACACAGTTTCTTTCTAAGCTAAGTGTTCAAAGAAATCCATCCAACTCTGAAGTATTAAGTGATTAAATTTTCACCACTTTTATATATTTTTAACTAGCCTTACAGTTCACAAGCATTTATATTCCACTTCTTCAGGAATCACAAAGAATAAATTACGCTATTTGCCCTGGACCAAACAGTGTGTCTGTATCAGCATTACATTTTAAGAACTGTAGCTTGCAGCTCGTACGTAATCCAAATCACATCATCTCCGACAGCACTTATGTCATGCAGTGAATCAGATGTGTGTTACTGCCTTGAATATTGATTGTATGTTGCAGTGAGCTTCTAACACCCACATAGAGTTCACTGTAGCACTAGAATTAACAATACATGATGAATTATGATGAAGTAGGAAGAGTACATTATTGGTTTTAACACTGCATTTCCTGTGTATTTTCAGGAAAGCACACGCTCCGCTTCTTTTGATCACTAATACACATGCTGTACAACTAGCAATTTTGGAACAGGACGTAGAAGAATATATTAAATTGGGCCATGAATTCTAAAACAATGAAAGAGATTGAATCTAACATTACCAATTGTAACAAAAAGGAAAAAAAGCATCCTGATATTTTAAAAATGTATGGGAAACCATGAAAGTAGAATGTTACTAACATGGCTGAAACGGAATTTGTGAGGGCTGGAGACATATGCCATATGTAATTATTTCAGAAAACAAACATCTAGAAGTACATGTTGTAAAATGATATTCTTATCTGAGAAAAGGAGATCTAAGGAGGACAAACCACAGAAAAAGGATGATGGTGTGAGCTAAAAATAATATTCAGATCCTGATTCAAACTGCCCCACATCTGAGTCTGAACAAAGTTCGAACAAAATCAAATTTAGTCTGCTATGGCTAAGAATGATAGCAGCAATTAGACACCCCCCAACGCCATCCTGTGTTCCTCGGACTGAGCCACACAGCTCAGCCTGAAGAAATGATATGTTTATTTACAGAATAGCATCTTGGCTCTCCATTAGGTGGAGTAACATACCCTAGAAGTTATTCAAACAGATTAAGTCTTTATTTCAGGTAATTTGGGCAGCACTGCAGTGATCAGTCATCCCCACAGTCACCACAGGAGGCAGGGCTAATCCAAGATCATTTTGCTTTAAAAATGAGCCCCCCCAAAATACCCATCAACCACACTAAAAACTTATCATAATCAAATACCCTCATAAAAATCCCAATCATAGTCAAGAACAGAAAAAGGAAGAAAGAATATTAATACCCTTGTACTTATTTTCCTCAGAGCACAGACATTCAGCAGTTTATATTGCTATATGATATATAGCAACCTCCATGGCTATTTTTACTTTTTTAGATTTTAAGCCTTCTCTAGCAGGATAGCTACATCAATGCATTGGCCATAACAGAAACCTGAACAACCGGAACAACCAGAACTACAAACAGGAGAAACGTGAATACTCTGAATGTATTAGGCCTGATTTCACAAAGATTCGATGCCTTTCTTTACCTTCCCATAAAAGTATTCCTTCTTCAGATTTGTCATGAAATTTTGATTATACAAACTTACTGGGTTTAACCTAGAACTCAATATTACTGTCCACAGTATAATTCTCTTACAGGAAAGGACTTTTTGACTCATTCCTGGTAAAGAGCCACAGTGAAAGTAGATTGTTTAATCTGGAGTAGATTCTTTGAGATACTTAACTACAAACTATTAAAACAAATCATTGTAAATATTTTACAGCTACCTCTACATGATATGTTTCTGTGTTATCCCAAAGAGTCTTCCAATTCCTAATTTGGACCCATAGTCTTCCCTTTTCTTCTTTCAAGGTAACCAGTATCTCTGGTCCAAGATGACAAAGCTGCCTGTAGAAAGTGAGCTCTTTTCAAAAGCATCTTTAAGTATAAGATGATCCTCCAATCTGAAAAATACAAAGGAAGTTCACACTACTTAATATACGGTATCCGATCTTATCTTTAGGAGTGGAAGACAGAAGTAGGAGGGCAAAAAACCCCAACGAGAAGAAATACAAAGAATACATTTAATAGATGTTCTTTGCAGTAGTATCAGAAGAGTTCTATCCATAAAAAAAATAACCTAATGCAAATAATTCAGTCTTTACTATTTCCAGTAGCAAGTTTCCTAAAATGTTGAAGCCTTCCATGCCTGCTGACTCAAATATGGCCAAGCATGAATGGGAAAACCTCCCTAAAAAGATCGAGAACAAAAAAGCTATATAAATACATAATCTGTTAAGGCTAGGTTGGGGTGGGTTTTTTTGTCGTTGTTTGGGGTTTTCTTTTTTTTCTGAATGGATATAAATTGAGTCTGGTGTAGCAGACTGGAATCAATTGCACATTTAGCACACTCCTTCACTTAATGACTTTTCACTCAAATTTGCAATTATAATTCTCTGGTGATATCAGCTGCCAACAATAGTTCTCTGTAACACTGTGATGGAAACAAGCTGAGAATTGCAAAGAGACATTCATACTCCAAAGTCCCTTTGCTTACCTTTGGTAACAAGGGCACATTTGGACAGCCTGCTAACATCAGCAGTCCAACAGTTAAGTCTACACCATATGACTAGGTTGCTGGATAAGCTGGTAAAGGGCCAAGGCACCATGAAATCTACAGCCATCTCAAGACAATTGTTTCCATTTTAAGGGTAATCCTGTATGAACATACTCCAATCCTTGCAAACAATATAGTTGCAAATATGACAAATCCTGGCATTTGCACACTTAATTTCAGTAAGTGGAGTCTGCAGGTTGTTACTGCAGCCTGTAGATTTTGGTGAAAGCACAGTGTCACAACAACAAATTTCCCCTGCTGTGAGCTCAACTCCTCCACTGCAATTAAATCCTGAATGATATCAGGCTGAAGTGATCTGTACATCACTATCAATCCTAACCTTGCTCCAGAGCATATACAATTTTTAAAAATTACTTCAAAGAAAATATCCTCAAGCCAACAAGCATGCAAGTCCCAAACATCAGATAAGTGCATGGCACTTGATTTTACAAAGCATCTTTGTCCTTCTGCACAAGTTCAAAAAAACCAGGTAATTATTTGTTTTGCAATAATACTCAAGAGACCCATTCTTTTAAGTACACATATACAGCCTGCTTCCACAAAGGAAACAGTCCACACAACAGCAGCATGTAATCATGGCATCCACTTCAGGATCAACAATCTCAAAATCAAAGCAAAACCCATACAACAAAAAAAAAATCCAAAACACCTTTCAGCTACTCTCAGAATGATTATTTAAAATGCAGATTTCACCAAGTTCTTTTCAGAAAATAATTTTACTGACAGTAATTGGAAACAGACATAATGTGCTAGCAAAAACAGTTCATTTTGAAAACATTACTCCATATTCTCAAATCAATCTTACATAGGATCTGACAAATATACTCAGAAAATTACTACTTTCATAGCCTCTCAAACACCATTTCCTCTAGAATCAAACCACCTAACTCAATAATTCATAAAACAAAAAGAATTAAAATAGACTTCCCTAATCTGTCAATATGCCAGGAGTATATCTGACAAATTTGAGTCATATTTCCCTACTTGGAGCAATGTAACATTTAACATTTAGTTACTGGACTACAATAAGAGGCAGCATTCAAATTTTTCTGGAGAAGACTGAAGTGACTTTTAGCCAGAAACTTTTTTCTTAATCATTGATTCTGTATTTTCTACAGAATTACCAGTATCATGTAGAAAAAAGCACCATGGCATTCACAGGAGGTTCCTGACAAGCACAGAAACCACCACTCCTGACTGAGAAAGTCAAAAGAGTCATGAGTACCACCAACCTCTGGAAGGCACATGGAACACACCCATTTGGAATCGATTTTTAAAGATGTGGACAAAAAGATAATCATGAACAGCTAAACACTTATCAAAGGCAGAATGTACCCAACAAAACTCACATGAAGAGGTGGGGTCCTACTCTGATGAAAGTTAAATGGTGTATGTAACATACTTTGACTTTAGGAAAGCTTTCAACAGTTTCCCACCACCATCTCACCTGGGAGCTGAGGAAGCCCAGGCTCAATGAACAGAAGGGAGCTGAGCCAGAAAACTGCCCAGATCACTGGCTCACGTGGCTGCAAGCAACAGCCAAACATCCAGCTTGCAAACCGGTAAGGGAGGACCCCAGGGGCCAGCACAGGCCTCCAAACACACTCATGAGCAACCAGGAAGATGGCACAGAGTGCACCCTCAGCAAACTGGCAGGTGACAGTAAAGTGGAGGCGGGCAGAGTTGACACAGTGCATGGCAGTGCTGCTAGCAACAGAGACAGGCCACCACAAACCTGAGGATGGGGCCAAAAGCCTCATTCTGTTCAAGAAGGAAAAGCGCAAAGCTCTGCCCCCAGGGCAGAAGAACCCCATGTGTCAGCACAGCCTGGGGAGAGCTGGCTGAGGAACAGCCCTGCTGGAAGGGGCCCAGGTGCTGGGGCAGAAGCCAGCTGAAACGGGAGCCAACATCTCGCTGCAGAGAAGGCAAACGCAGAAGGGACTGCGGGGAAGGGAGGTTATCGCTCCTCTGCCTGCCACTGGCAAGGCCACTGCAGATACCGAGTGCTCAGGTGAGGGACCTCCTGCAACGGGATGCTGAGGAACCAAGCAGGGTCCAGCCCTGGGCTACCAAGGTGGTCAGGGGCTTCAAGGGCATCACCCACAGGGAGGCTGAGGGAGATGGCCCTGTTTTCTTTAGCAAAGAGAAGGCTTGGACCACCTAAGAGCTGCCCACAGCTACCGAGATGGGGACGCTGAAGACAGCGTAGGCAAGCTCTCTCAGCACTAACAGACAGAAGAGCAGTGACCACAGAAGGCAGCATGGAGAATTCAGGTTGGACACAGTGACAGACTTTTTCACTAGGAGGGTGGTGAAGCCCAGGAATAGGATTCCCCGGAAGGCTGGAGATTCTCTGTTCTTGGGGGTTTTCATGGCTTTGTAGCACAAAGCCATGGCTGACCCCCTCAGGTGCTGGTTAGAGCCCTGCTTTGAACAAGTGGTTGGACCAGAGACCTCCAGAAGCGTCTTCTGACTAATATACTTGCTAACACTGTGATCTCACTAATTCCTGTAATATGTGGTTCCAGAAATTATAGCCTTGCTTATATAATCATCTTCAGACATGAAGAAGTCATTAAGTCTTTGGTAAATAATTATCCATGGATGACATCAGTACAGACTTTCCTATAAATAGCCAGGTGTTATCTACAGATTACAGTGCTAGCAGGTCTTACAGTTCTAAAATCACAAATATTTTGTGTTAAAACTATTTTAATCAGCTAGTGCCAAATATTTTAATAAACTAGAGAGAAAATGGAAATTGTATACCTAAGCCTACCGAATTTAAATGTGCCAAATACTATCCCGTGGTCGCCTTTGTATCTCACAATAATCTTGCAGAAAAAACCCGTTATTTTATGCCTGTGTCTTTATGAAGAGGTGATATGAAAGGTATTTTCACTTAGCTTGCTTGTAGAAGCTCCCTCGAATTTGAAAGAAGCAACAGAATGTTTCCCATAAGACAATTCTGAATGTGAAATTTTCCTTACATTTAAGGATAGGCTACACATTTTAAGTCTCTATTTTTCCCTATCACATCTCAATTTGGTTTCTTCCCAGTATTAATTATAGCTTTTTAAATCATAATAAATTAAATACAGAAGATGGACAGTATGGCTCATCAAACTGTTCTTTTGTCACACTACAAATGCAGTGCTTTTGTGATAATCAGAATTAAACCAATTAGAGTAAATTAACAGTTTGGGAGTAATTCAGGAGTAAAAGGACTGGTTCCTGTAACTCCCTTTGAGGACAACACAGATTAAGCAACAATTCAATGCAATACACAAAACAGCTTGGTCAAGGAGAAACCTAGGTCATTAGCTGACATCATAATCCTGCTTTTTGGGTATCTTTGTCTAGCAAACCTTAAATTATTTCATGTTGTCATTTCAAAGTAAGAATGATAGGTACTCAGTTTAATCAGTAAGACTACTAGCTGAAATGAATTCTCTTCCTTGCACTGACTGGTGTTTTCACACCTTTGGTTAACTAAGCAATGTATTAATTAAAAAAAAAAAACAAACAACCTCTACAACTGCATTAGCGGGTAGTGCACTGCAAGAGGAGGAGATTTGCAAAACTAAACAGTTTGTGCTGAAGACAATATTCAAGCAACATATACTCTAGGGAAGTTCACTCCAGAATTAGCTCTAGTCCTACCTATGGTCTAAACAGCTTTACAACAAATGCATTAGAGAAATCCAAAAGCACACCTTTTAATTTTGTTTAATCCAAAAAGAAGTTAATTTGCATGTTCAGCAGGATCAGTAGCAAAGAACGCCATTATGCAGCCTACGGGGATATGCATTATGGAGAAAATAATGCACAGTTACTCCAAAGTTAATCCTAAAGCAATTTTTATTAGCTGCATTTTTAAGTCACAAAACCTAAACACTTAAATTTTATCCATGCCTGCAAAATACAGATTAATGCACGAATGCATCAATTACATGCAGCTGAGATCTTCGTCACATCTCAAACAGAAAACAACTGTGCAGTAATAAGATAATTTACTTCAATTTAGTACTGCTTTATAATTATCTTAACAAGGGATGCTGTTGTACAACGACCATTCCAAAAACATAAAGATAATACTCACACCACAGAGCCTGACTATTGGTGCACTTTAAGGATGGTTTACACTGAGCATGGTAAGAGCACTGTGGCAGAAGAGCGGTCCTGCTCTCTGTCTTCCAGCTGAGGGCTTCCTGCTTCCTCCACTGTGACAGGAATTTTATAATTTCATGACGCAAATTACTTGGACAACTATATTAGCTGCAGACTAATCCTGGAAAAAGAAAAAAATATCAGTTCTGTGCTACAGCAGGTAGCTGTTTCGGTGGCAATATAGCATTAAATCAATACAGATGAATTGTTTAACCACAACACAAACATTTCACCACCACCACCCCCAGAAAAAGACAGCAATACTTAAGACCTCTGGTATCAACATTTTGAGTGGGGAATAACAACACGAGCAAGCTATGTATCTCATAAAGACATAGTAAACAACAGAAAAACGAATTTAGCAAAGTCGTGCTCCCTTAAATGTAGTATCAACTTTATAAGCATTTAGATGCAGCTTCACTACATCCATGACTTGCAACAAGAAACTGACATTTGAAAAAAAAACCAACCAAACAACCAACAGAGAAACACCAAGTTGCCTTTCACTCTCTGCATCAAAGTTCTCCCCAACTGCAAGTCTGAAAACTGTTCTTCGTCATTTTTTTTGTTAACACTGCATGTTAACATGGAGCTCTGCCCACAGACTTCTATGCCAAACACAGTCAGCAGACTCCACCTCCACAAAAATCAGCTGAGCAGGACTTACAGGGCAATCACTTTTCCTAAATGCTGGAGGGAGTTAGAAATCTGCCATGTGTTCCCAATGCTCCACCTGCTGGTATGCGACAGCACAGGTTAGTCCAGAAATCACCCTGACCTTGGAGACTCAAAGAACAAACAAAAGTGTCTGAGTAGTCAGAAGCATCTGAAGCACTTAAGGCAAAACCTCCCCCGAAGAACTTGACAGTATAACATTTCTGAATACTAACATTCCTGAAAAATATTTGTGAAAACCTCTAACTAAGGATGTGGTTCAATCCTCCGTTGGTGGCTGGCTGGCTACTAACACATGAATATTAGTTACTTCATTAGGTCAAGTGTAGAGCTCTGCAGGAAAGTTTGGATAAGAGATGCAAGCCAAGTCCAAAAGTGGAGGTCCCACACACACAAAAAAATCAGGACATCTAGAGTTTCTACATGATAAATTTTATCAGGATTTTAAAATGAACTTTATACTAGAGCCCAAAATAAAAAAAATCTCAATAAAACCAGGCATCTCCCCAACACAAATGAGTCAAGAAAAAAAAGTAAAGCTGCCCACCTTATTTCACAACATTTACATATGAAAAATAAAATGTTTACAAAATTAAAAAATAAGCTCTTCACAGGAATCCTGCCATACTCTGCTCATAAACCCAATGATGTTCCATGAAAGAGATTTGAAGAACAAGAATGCAACAGCCCTTAAGACTTGTTGAAAGAGCTCAAAGGTCTTCATTCATCTTTCCACAACATCTATCATCTGTTTCAGTTGCTTTTTTATAAGCCAACCAAACAAGGATAAGTAACTGAAGAAAACTATCAAGGTGTTTGGAGATTAACTCAACTTGCAAATCAGCTATTTTCATTAATCTCCATTGTTTACCTGCAAGTTATTGAAAGTACTTTTTACAGACACCCACTACTCCTTTATCTGAGTGACCACATGCAAATTTTCAGTCAGTTTTGCAGATCTGTTGTATCTCAGGCAGAGGTCAGAGGAGACCATATCAGCTCAAAGAAATGTTGTAAAAACATCAAGAAATTACTTTAAGGAATCAATTCAATTAAAAAAAAAATCCATGTGCAGTTTGTTATCTTCTTCCAATGTGTAGAATTAAAACACTAACTGGTACTAGAGTAATAAGCATCAGCCATAGCATTTCTAGAACAAGTACGTTCTGTGCAAATAGTTAACCTGTACAATGGGACAAATGAAGGTACACTTAAGGAAATGCTGCAAATACAGGCTTCCAGTCATTGTATAAACTCAAGCACCAACAGCAGACCAAAACTCACTAACCTGACACAAGAAGTCAGCTGCCTTAGATCCCGCTTAAATGCAAGAGGTTATCACAGCTGGCAGTATTTATCAAGCTCTGTATGCAAATGAAATTCCATATTCAATCTTTCAAATTTCAACTTAACTACAACACTATTTAAAAGTAGAACTCCTCAAACTAATTCTATTCTCCAACTTAAAGCAGTAGCTTAAAAGACAGGAAACGTCGTTATCAATAACCCGTACACCACAGTGCTTCAGTTGCCAATGATCTGACAGTCCTAGCTGTGCAAAGATTAACCAGACAGCTAAAATAACTTCTTGATTCTACAGAGGGAGAAGAAACGACTGAAGCAGATAGCCACACAGTTGAAGTTAACAGCATATTATAAACCATCTAAACTATTAAGAAAAATTCTGCAATAGTAATTTGTAGTATACCAGTAAATTGACAGAAAGCCAGTATTTATTTTTCGTTTAGATGAGGTAACTTAGGAAAACATTCCCCTTTTCACAAAAAGAAAAATAATTAATGATTAACAGTCTTTGAGAACTGCAGCAGAGGTTTGGTTTTATGGGGATGCCCGGTATTCTTAGGAGAAATTTAAAAGCAATACTACACATAACAGCAAGTCAAGCTGTGTAAAGGTCTTGTTTCTTAATTTACATATAAGCAAGAAGTTAGATCATTAACTACATTAAGGGACATCACACTGAGATCTGTGTTGTGTAAGAAAGAGCAAAAAATAAACCAGTACTTCTCATTGATATTATAGTATGCAACTTCACATTAACATACAGAGTAACAGCTTCAACCAGTCTGTTAGAAGGAATGTTTAAGTACATAGATTCATATTACTTTCCTGAGATTTTACTGCTTCTAGTTAATATTTGGCATAACCTGACTCTTAACTGAACCACCAGCTTAGTAATTCCTGATCCAACTAGTGTGTTTATCAAGACAAGTCATTTAGTCACCATATTCAAAGTGAAAAAATGCATTGTGTAATTTTGATTAGGCTTTTGAACTCAAAGCAGTCATGCAGGCTGAAATCAAACAAAAAAATGCAAGACCAGACTATCGTGCCTAATCACATGATGTCCGAGGATATCAACTACTACATTTATTTTTAATTAATATTAAAATCATTGGATCAGACGTGGCAACTCATTTTTCAAGTTAGAGTAATTTTAAAATAAGTCAGAGGAGAGGGAAGTGTCAAAATAGATGTGTATTTTAAGAAATTACCACATTTCCTTGTTAATCTCTTATCACAGCTGATTCAAGTTCTGAACATGGCAAGCTCTGGTTAGTGTTATAGTTTTCTCTTCTGCTATAAAGGCTAGAGCTATGGCATACCAATCTTCATAAAACTCTAGAAGTCACCTTAACTTTCCTTGATATTTCCTTGTAATACTCCCTTGATATATTCAGAACTGATGAGGGACAGGTTGCAGAACTAGCTTCCCTGATAAGAGAACATTCCCAGTGTTCTAGTGACCTCAAAGTGCCTGATCCTGTCAGCAGACAGCTTAGTTATCCCACAGCAAAGGGCTATATGAGAATGAACATGTCCTTGACCTACAGGGAGATCAGAGTTAGACTCATAGAACCACCATCAAGAAACACACCCTTGAAAACACTTGCCCTTGTCTTAGTGGGATGAAGTATATACCTGTCAAACAATATTAAAAATTAGCTAGCTGTAGTATTTCTTGTCTTAACCTAATTTCATGAAAAAAATGTGTTTATTCTTCTAGAAGTGAGTGCAGTATTGGTTAAAGTTTTACTGCTTAAATTTACTGAACAATACTTTAAGATTAGCAAAACTCCCAAAGAAGTAGACTGAAGGGCAACCATGGAAAGAATCTTTATTTACAAGCACGATCTGTATATAACCAGATCATTTAGTTACAAAGTTTATCAGCAGTGCTAATAATATATCACATGGTCTCTATAAAAGCTAGATACTCTCAGTAAACATGTTAACAATACACATTACACTAAGTGTACGACTATGTTGTAAAAATATATGTTAAAATAATGATGCATATCAAATATGGACTAGTCAGCCAGCAGAATGAATGTGGATAAAAAGAAAAAGCAACAGTCTTTAAGCACAAAAGTGCCCATCTCCAGGAAAAACCACAAACAACACACAACTTAGGTGCCCCCAGCCAGAGCACTAGTAAGGATAAAGCAAAAGAAAGGAAGATGTGATGGAAAACTCACAGCAATTTTAACTTTAAATACTTAAAGCTAACACTGATTCAAGAATATTACAATGAGTACCAACTCGCCAGCTCCAGCAGCCAAGACATGTCTTAGGAATTCTAGGTAACAACAGCTAAACAACTAGACAGATCACCGTTTGCTTAAACCAGCACAGAGTTTTCAGCGTGTTCTACTTTTACCCTTTTGTTTCCAATTTCTACCTTACTAAGTAACTCTGCCCTCTATTTTACTGTTCTATTTGCCTGGTACTGAGGACATGGGGAAAGTTTAGTTAAGGTTAAAAAAAGAAATACTCTGTGCCAGCAGCGCCAAGTAGTCTGTACCCTAGGATATATGCTTAGGAAAATCACGCACTAAGGAGCATTTTCTGCCAAGCTGCAGAGGGTCAGCAGGGCATCTTCTGTTGCCAAGCATCAGCTTTGGGACACAGCACTTTCCAGAAGGTACAAAATTGAGCCTTTTCTGCAGGTTATCAACAGTACACAACATACCTCACCACTCGCCCAAAACTGCAAACTCACACTGTGATTTCTGCATATAAAAGTGCTCAGTTAGTGCACTGAACACTCCAAAATGGCAAACTCAGCAGTTTGAGATAACACATAGAAAAGAGCTCAGTCTTCAGGAACACTTATAAACACTCTGAACAACAGAAGAATGACAACCCTGCATTTGGCTGAACCATGCTGTATCTGCAGAGAAAACAATAAAGTCAATGAAGAAAGTCCTCTGAGAATCATCTGGCATTTTGATTTATTATACTCATGTTAAGCCTCCAACATTCATTCTCTACAAAGCTCTGACACAGCAAAAGATTTGTTTTGGACTTATTTCTATATTCTTTATATAAAATGCCCATGTTCTTACAAATTCCACTAATGCCAGTTTGGTATCTAGCATCGTGTTGATTCAGTGTGAAACATAAGAATTAAACAGCCTTTTAGTAGTCTGGCTTCCTCATTCCCACAGGATTCAACATGCCCTCAGATATGAAACAATCTTATCTAGGGCACTTCTTGTGAATATTTTAATCTTATTTCCTTTATCTTTCTAACCTTCATTTCTGCAGAAATATAGACCTGATTCCCCCAACCTTCTTGTGCTGTTAAAACTAGTGGTGGTGTTCAGACTGAGGGATCTTAAGACAATAGTATACAAGGAACAAACTGATATTATTAAAGAATAACTTCAGGCATAGAAAACTTATCTGTACTAAATACTAAATAAATTTTAAACTGTAAGATGGGGTGTGCTGCTTCTCATTAAGTGCCAGCTCAGACAAAGCAATGCCTCTTTATTGGGTAGTTGGGCATTCTCTTGTTAGACAAGTTTACTGCTGTTGTAACTTACGGACCTCCCTAAAAAAGAAAAAAGCAAGAAAATTTTGAAAGAAATATAAACAGGAAAGACTGGGACTCCTATTGCATTGACAAGCTGATCAACAGGATCTCTGTACATTCTCTTCCATGTGTATGCTTTATTATAAACTGGTATTATAACCTTCTTGAAGTAAGAATCAGTGGGAGAGGAGTTTTTCCATTTCTAGATTTATTTTTTTTTTTTTTGTACAACCCTGAGCATTGTTACGGGATCAACCATTCATCAGTACAACCATCCCTTTGTTCTTCTTTACCTTCATCACTCCAATACTGCGTCCAAGCAACAATCTGGAAAAGATCACTGAGCCAGGCAAAGAACAGTTAGACTAAACAACTAACCAAAAAGTTTTTAAACAAACTAGATAAAATAAATTCTGTAAAAAAATGATCACAAATATGTCTTGTTACCTTCTAAACCATTTCAGAAAAATCTGTCAGCATGCAGTATATCCATATTATCCAGGCACTAAGATTTTAGATCATTTTAATATTATTCCATGTTGCGCATGCCAAAGATAGATCTGAATAAGCTTTCAGATGAAAATGGTAAAACTGAACAGTTTTTTTTAAGGTTTTCCAGTCCAGATAGTTCTGAAAGAAGTGACCTTTCTCTTATTCCAAAAGTTCCTTCCAACAACGGCAGGCAAGCTTTCACCATTATATATGCTTCTAGCTACAAGACTTTTACCTCTCTGTTCCATAGATCAAAACCAGAAAAATCCCCATCGTGTTAACTAAACCAAAAATGTAAGCAGTATGCAAGCAGCATACTAACTTGCACAGTCTATTCAGCTTGTTCTCAATCTGATTATTCACCTGTTTTGTACCGACTGCCATCTGCCCACTCCTCCTCCTGTCTGTCTCCGACACAGACTCTGTGCCATCTCATAAGCCCTTTTTTTTTTTTTAAGCACTTTCTTGCACCCTTCTTCTAGGTCACTGATACATACTACGAATAAACTTAATTAGAAGATTGTTTCCCAGGGCTCCTCAGTCATTATATTTCAAGTCAACTTTAACGGAGAGAAGGTTTTGCTGTGAAACACTTAAAAAGACCTATACACTTACTTTCTGTATTTAAATATATTTATATACATAAAATGGCTTTGCAGATAAATTATACATATTAAATATGTATATAAATATATTGACGTGCATATTTAAGACAGGAAATAGATTCAAGACCAAGTCAACCACTGCTCACATTTATTTTCCCATTTAAACTGCAGCATGAGAACTAATCACCAGTAGATACATACAAGAGTAAGCACACAGGTATTTTTATTTTAGGCAAACAATCCACTGCTTCATGAAACTTGACAGTTGTCTCCATTAACTCTATAGCTGTTACAGCCAAATCTTATCATGTGTTGAAAAGGATGCTGGGATTAATTATGTAGTTCCAATCTGGCCCTTTTATTACTATCAGGAATGTTCGTTTCCCAAGTTGTACATGACAGTCACTTAAAACTCCATCTGGCTTTTTTGATTTACACCAGGAACTTCCGTGCTAAGAGTTCATGAATATATTATCTGCGCTGATTTTTTTCTTCCTCTCCTAAAGAGCAAAAAAGTTTTCATCAAAAAGCCTAAATACAAAGGAACCTGTAAATGCCTGTTAACGTCAAAATTTAGGAAGTAACAAAGAAAGATTCTATGCATCTTTACATAAGGGTGGGGTGTTTTTTAAACAAACAAAAAAAAAAAGTAGAAAAATAAATCCAAAAGAACCTTCAATTTACTTTGCCACTGACCTTTAGACCTGACACCCACTGCATCCTGTGGGAAACTTTTCCAAGAGCCAATTTTCTTATAAATATTTTAGCAGATTTAAGCATCCTGAATGTGTTTTATTTGCCTACATCTACAGATGAAACGTCTGTTGAATAATGACAACATGTATGTGGACTTTCATATTCACATAAGTATCTGTAAAGCAATAAAACATAATGTAATGGCATCTTGAAAGTGCTACATAGAGGTGCTTTTGAAGTTTTGGTGGTGGTGGTTTTTTTTGGGGGGTGGGGTTTTTTTGCTTTTTTTACAAGGTTTACTCTTACAGCTGCTTTAAGTCTCTAAAATGCATGAAAGAGCATTGCTGTCCATTTTCCCGCATATGGGTTTAACACAATTTGCATATCCTCCAAAAAAATAACAAAAGCACTGGAAAAAGACCACTCATTTCTACATTTGTGTGATAAAAGTGATAGTGATAACTCAATTCCCTACTCAAAAAGAAAATTCAAGTCCCTCTTAGGCATTTTGCCAATAAATTTCCTTAAACTCCACAAGAACAGCTCACTTAGAGGAATTTGTTTAGCTTTTAAGTGTCAAAGCACTGCACCTGTTCCTTTTCAGATAAGCAGTCTCCTCGTCAAGTCTTATATTCCTCTCATTTCTCCATTACAATGAGAAATTGTTTTCTGCAGTATAGAACAGATCACTTATGGAAAGTCACAGGAAAGATTTCTTCATTACTTCCATGGGCCACATCCGCACTCCTCTCCAGGTACGCTTCTCCTTGTCAACCCTTCTTCCCTCCCTTCTGTGTATGGTTCCACTGCAGAGCTATACATCTTGTTCAGTCCTGTACATGACTGCTGTATCACTGCTCGTAAGGAAACCTCCCAGCTGTTCAAAAGAAGCCATGGAGCCAGTCAAGGACAACCACATTCAGCAAGACAGGTAAGCAGGAATTGGCTCCCTCACACTGCTAGAGCGCCAACTAAAGAGACTAGAGTATATTTAAGAAACACTTTTTGTTTTTTGAAACTGAAACATTAGCTACTGTTGAAAGAAGGTGTCCGATTTACTTGGAATGAAACTATAAACATTGCATTACTGGAGGATTTTATGCCAGCAAGTTTCAGCTAGATTTAGCAAGCAAGAAAAACAGAAGGAATGTTTGTTTTTGAGAGCTTATAATGGAGGGTTTGCTTCAACTTCACCCATCAAGTGACAGTATCTTCATTATGTATGACTAAATGCTAACTACAAGTTTAAAACATCAGTATATGAAGGCACAATTCCTCACAAAGACTGTGTAACAAGAAGTGCACAGTAATAGTCTATAAAAGCCTTTGTTTTCCAGTCTTATTATCAAAGCTTCTGTTGAAACTGTAGTCCCTTGGTTTTTATGACCGCTTTATCACCAGCCATCAAAACTGCATTAGTGGTCCATCTATATATGATACAGATCAAGGCTTCTGTCCAGTAAAATCTCTCTCTCACGATTATCTCCATAGCCACATTACTTCACAGTGGTTACAGTTCCCATTACCAAAAGGAACAAGGGGATGAGCTCAGTCTCACTCCAAGTTATTCCTCTCATGTCTCCTAGGAGGACAGTATTATGCTCTTGGCATAGATCTCTTCGGCATGCTCGTAAGAAATTTGCATGTAGACATTTGAGACAACGAGCAGCCAGTAACTATTCAGCTCTCAAAACCTACAGTAAGATAACGCCAATGAATTTTCATGCATGAGAACAGCAGGACAGGATGTACAGTGCAAGCTTACATAAGACACAAGGCACTGCTGGGAACCAACAGCAGAAATGGCTCAGGAAAATGCTGATGTCACCCGTATACGTTTGGGCTGCGCTGGCCAAGTTTATCTGATCCTAAAACTGGCCTTTCTGGCTGTTTGTAAAAGCTCAGTTTGCTCTGTTTTACCAAGATCTTGAAAAAAGAACATGTTTTCAAAAACCCAAGCTTCTTCCTAATATTAAGGTGAAAGATAAAAAATAAAACCCAAGACGACTCTAGATTCAATCACTGTAGCACTTAAGCAAGAATCTAAAGAAAAACAGAAAATGTAATGGAGAACTGGAAAAAGCGTGTCATTATATACACAAATACTTGCTCCTAATACTTACTAAAATAATAGTTCAAGCACAACTTATCTGTTTTAAAATATGACCTCTGCAAACCTACTAAGGTCAATGAGACTTAGTAGTTACTCAGTGAGCCCTGCTTGCATAAATTAAAGATGCCTAAGGGTAGCTATGAAACCGGGTATTTGATTTTTCCAGGGCACCTACATATTATGAATTAACAATGAATTGCCATTTTAGCAGAGCAGCTTTCAGTTTTGTTAAAAAAAAAAAAAAAAAGAGAGAAAACCACAACCAACCAACCCACCCCAACTGTGTCGTGCTTACCTTCTCCCTGACATATAAAATATTAAAACTGATTATGGAAGTTTCATATTAACTTGAGTAGACAAGTGAGAAACTATAGATCAAATTACTTTCAAAAAGCCCCTAAGATATGAGTCAAATAGTGCTTCTTCCTGGTGTATCCTTCTACAATAGACTTAAAAAAACCCCAAGTAATCTAGCTGCACAACATAGTATAAAGCAAAACTTAGCTCCCTGAGGTCAGTATTCACAGCAGCAGCAACTCCCAGCTCTGTGCCTGGCTGCTTTCACCTGTTATTGCAGTGGCTGCACACCACTTCAGAACAGTGTGTAAACCACCAGGTAACTCCTTCATAGTTCTAGGACTCTTGCTTTGAAGTTCTTCCCTATGGCATACTTAAGGCATTTGATTTTCTGTAGAGAGCGATATAAGGTGAGAGAGAAAATACTGTTCCTAAAAATTAACTACTCACTTTATCTTTCGTTACACATGTAAGGAACATATTGTCACTCCCTTTAATATTTTCCTGCAAATGCAGAGGCACCCTGAGATAGCATTGAGTTAATGCAACTATCCAACCCTGGCAAGTGCCACTGAATGGTCGGTCTCACAGTAAGTTACAAGCCAATGCCAGAAGTAATTTCTTCATCATATCATCTATTTCAGAATACCTCTCTTCCAGTTCCCTACCCAAACACCAAATCTAACACCATGCAGCTCAGAGATACTAACTATCAGAGATAGTCAGCCACATTACAAATTCACAAGATTTCCTTGGCACTGGAAGAGGACACCAGCTTTGTTCTAAGCAAATGGGAGGGAAAAAACACCCACAAACTATTTGCACTGTGGAATGGCAGCTCACTGAAAGCATATTAGCACACACTCTTTAAAAATATGAAGTGTAAGATGACCACACAGTGCAGATCACGCATTATGTCATTAAACATCTTTTTAAGTGACTATTTCCATCGAAGTGTAGTACCTACTACAGGAAAATTCTGCAAGCAAAACACTCGCACCCTGGCTAAAGCCTTTACACTTCTGTAGTAGAAATAATGTCGTTATCTACCTGTTGTTACTATAGCAGATAAGCATTTCACAGTCATTAGTATATTTATTCACAGTACATTTCTGGAAGGCACCACTATTCCTGATTCATAAGCAAACAGGACTGATGCAGAAAGACTGATCCAAGGTCACAGAGTAAGTCTGTGGTAAGCTAAGAAACTTCACCTGGTTTTGCCTTCATGCAACTAATACTTTCTATTAATGAGTCTTTGTGGCTTCTCTAAATTATTCTTCAAACATGAAGAGACAACAGACTGCCTGTGGCATTCAAACTCTACATGCTAATAGCAGCTTTACTCCAGGGTTTTCTAAAAAATATCACGCCCAAGGGCCTTGTTCTATACTATCACCGAATCCTACTTCAGCACTAGGCTGCTGTAGTGGGAAAAAAGGGAAATATATATCTAGAGAGATAGATAGATAAAAAATTAGATAGTCTGCATTGTTTGTGATCCATCTCTCTCACAAGAGAAACAAAAATCAGTCTTTGAGTAGTTTTACTCCCTCATGCTACAGACCACCGGGCAAGGGCAAAGTGCAGGGAGGAAGGGACAGTCAGCTCGGGAGACAAGTTATGCAAAGCTGGGGGCCGGGGCGGGGGACAGGAGTCCCTCCAACCCAGAGGGAAAGAGAAAAAATAAAAAAAGGCAGCCCAACTTCTGTTCTCAGGTCAACGGGGTCAAAACGCAGTGAGGGTGTGCTCAGGCCCCAAGGGCTCTGCGGTGGGAAAGGGACCCCTGGCACGGGGTGCACGGTGAAGGGTGCGGGGCTCCTCTCCCTCCCACCAAAACCCCGTCCCGCCCCGCCGAGCGCAAGGGGGTGTCGAGCCCCTCCCCGGCTCACCCCCTCGCCGGGGGACGGCAGCCTGCAGAGTGCCCGCTGCCCGGGGCGCCCCCCGCCGGAGGGAGGGCGCTCCCCCGCCCCACCAGCACGGCCCTG